TTCCATTGGTTCACCCTGAAATGGCCGCTGCGGCCGGCGCGCTGCAGCTGGCGCACTGCAGCCGGCGTACCGCCCTGATCCAAAGCCAGGAGCCAGGTGCTTCTCCTGGTCTCCCATGGGGTGCAGGGCCCAAGCACTTGGGCCATCCTCCACTGAACTCTCGGGACACAGCAGAGAGCTGGCCTGGAAGAGGAGCAACTGGGACAGAATCCGGCGCCCCGACCGGGACTAGAACCCGGTGTGCCGGCGCCGCAGGTGGAGGATTAGCCTAGTGAGCCACGGCACCGGCCCCATGCATAGTTTTTTCATAATAGACATTTTCCTTGAATTTTTTGTACACATGGATATCAAAGTTTTTAATACCAGAATAAATTTATCTTCTAGTTCCATTTTCCATGATTGTTTGAAATGTTCCTGTATATTTACATGTATGCTCTGTATCTATAGATAGATATAGATATAATATCCTCTGAACCATTTGAATTTGCTCTGGATTGCAGGGGAGGGAAGGAAGAATATAGTTTTACTGCCCTGCCTTCTCATTACTGGGTAAATAAACTCTTCTTCATACATTTAGTCTGGAGAACCTAGAGAAGAACTAGTATCAAGCTCTGATTTTAAATCACAGCTGAGTGTGTGTTTGTTTCTTTGTGTTCAGTGGGAGGTTAACTCAGCAAGTTAGAGGTGTTCAACTCTGCACATTTCAAAGTTCTGGCCCTGGAAAGGTTGCTATGAGACATCCTCTGAGCCCCCGGAATACGCCGCCTGATCAAAGCATCCTTGTGGATCTGGGTCCTGCTCACCTGATGGGTTATGCTAACAATGGGATTTGTAGCAGGGACCCTAGACCAGGCTGTATTGGTCTGAACTCTGGAGGGCCTGGGGACTGTGTGAACACCCAGGTGAGCTGACAGGTTGACAATGCATCATTTGGGCTGTTACACACTCTTGCTGGGAACATCATGCAAGGCCTGCACAATGCACTGGGAAAGTGCAGGAGGGGCCTGATGATCCTGGCCGTGCCCTAGGTACCCTTTGCCTCTGCTGATTTTAATCTGATTCCTTTTGATAAGAGAAAAATTCTACAATGTTCTTAATTTAGTTATGCCCTGGAGGATGGAAGGGAGAAGAAGGGAAGTTAATCAGTGAACACTTCCTGAGCAAACCAACAGGAGACATTCCTGAATGCATGCTGAAACCTTGACTCAAAACCTCAGGTGACCAACTCCCTGGGCGCTGTTGTCTGCACCAAGTGCTACCTGTGGACTGTCCAAATTGTACCCTGCTTCTTCTGATCTGGCCTCTTATCTCTAGTCAATGTAGATTCAATGTAAACAACTCTTGCATTACTTCTCCAAACATCTGTAATGAAAATGTTGTTAGCTCTACAGCCAGCAGACATATTTCCAACTGCTCTCTGGAGTTAGGATGGGGTCTCCTTCCATAAGCCCACACTCCAGTAAAGAATCTGTTGCCCATTTTGTGTTGGTGGGCTTTGGGTTAGAGGACTTCTGGGGATGAAGGAGAGAAAGACAAAGTAGAAGATGCAGGCAGAATGCAAAGAGAGAAGACAGCATCTTTGGGAAGTGAATGTGGCAATTCAGATGAACTAGAATTGGAAAGTTACCAGGAGGCCGGTGCTGCGGCTCACTAGGCTAATCCTCCACCTAGCGGCGCCGGCACACCGGGTTCTAGTCCCAGTCGGAGCGCCGGATTCTTTCCTGGTTGCTCCTCTTCCAGGCCAGCTCTCTGCTGTGGCCCAGGAAGGCAGTGGAGGATGGCCCAAGTGCTTGGGCCCTGCACCCCATGGGAGACCAGGAGAAGCACCTGGCTCCTGCCTTCGGATCAGCGCGGTGCGCCAGCCGCAGCGCGCCAGCCGTGGCGGCCATTGGAGGGTGAACCAACAGCAAAAGGAAGACCTTTCTCTCTGTCTCTCTCTCTCTCACTGTCCACTCTGCCTGTCAAAAAAAAAAAAAAAAAAAAAAAAAAAAAAAAAAAAAAAAAAAAAAAAGGAAAGCTATCAGGAGAAAGCAAGACCCAGTGAGAATGCAAGGAGATGTCAGACAGGACATACGATGTCCCAAGCATGTTGCACGGAGACCAAGACATTTTATTTGTCTGTTACAGAGAGGGCGACCACAGAGAGTTGCAGGACTTTGGGTGTACATGTCCTAACATCTATGTGGAGAGAGATACATTGAAATCACGTTAGAAAAATATGTCTGAATGCAAATGGAGGCTATCTCTAAATGCGGAATGGGAGCCGCAGCTGTGGCTCAGCAGGTTAAGCTACCTGCCACCTGTGATACCATCATCCCATACGAGCATTGGTTCAGGTACTGGCTGCTCCACTTCTGCTCCAGCTCCTGGCTAATGTGCTGGAAAAGCAACTGAAGATAGCCCAAGTGGTTGGGCCTCAGTCAACCACGTGGGAGACCTGCATGAAGTTCTAGGCCTGTGGCTTTGGCCTGGCCAGCTCCGGCCATTGCAGCCATTTGGCAAGTGAACCAGAAGGTGATGATATCTCTCCCTCTCTCTCTGTAACTCAGCCTTTTCAAAAAAATAAATCTTTTTTTAAGATTTTTTTTTTATTTGAAAGGCAGAGTTACAGAGAGGCAGAGGTAGAGAGAGAGAGAGAGAGAGAGAGAGAGTTCTTCCATCTACTGGTTTACTCCCTAAATGGCCTCAACAGCCAGAGCTGAGCCAATCTCAAGCCAGGAGCTTCCTCCAGGTCTCCCATACGGGTGCAGGGGCCCAAGGACTTCGGCCATGCTCTACTGTTTCCCAGGCCACAGCAGAGAGCTGGATCAGAAGTGGAGCAGCCAGGTCTTGAACTGGTGCCCATATGGGATGCCAGCACTGCAGGTAGTGGCTTCACCCACTACACCACAGTGCTAGCCCCAATAAATATTTATTTTAAAAATAGTTTAATTAATTTTAATTTTTTATTTATAATTGTGTATCTAATCTTTTCTACAATGACAGTGTATGGCTTCTGCAGTAGGAAAAAATAACAATGATAAAAGTAATATTCTCAGCTAGAACATTCATTAGGCAGATATTAAACAAGGAGGCCAACATTAGGGTTGGCACTGGAGGAGGAAGAGATAAGACCCCTGCACTCAAAGGAACTGTAGCAACCTAAGGGGAGCCATCACTAAGCTAATTGACATGCAAAGGAGGCAGAGAAGTCTGAAACTAATGGGAGGCTGCTTGTGAAGGAACCTATAGGAGGAGAGGGTTAGCAAAGGCCTCCCTGTGGAGGGGATGCTTATTCTCAGACCTGAAAGAGAAAAGGAGTGGGAGCAGGAGGGTTCCAGCAGCCCAAGGCAAGAGTGAGGTTGGTGGGGGGGGGTGTGTGGAGGAGACCTGGGGAGGCGCAGAAGCCAGTGTGAGGCCTCAGCAGTTCAGATGAAGAGGGTAGCCTTCACTCCACATGCAAGGAGAAGCTGCCAGAGTTTTGAATTGTGCAAGCCCACACTCTTGTTTGCTTAATTGATTGATTTAATTCATATTTTGTTCAAGAGGTTGAAAGAGAGCTTCCACCCGCTAGCTCACATGGGGCCAAAGCTGGGAGCCAGGAGTTCAACCCAGGTATCTTACATGGATGGCAGGGAACCAATCACTTGAGCCCCATCACCTACTGCCTCCCAGGTCTACACTGGCAGGAAGTTAGAAACAGGAGCTGGAAATAGGAGTCAAACCCAGGCTCTCCAATGCAGGACATGATGTGGGATACAGGCATCATAGTTGGTATCCCAACTGCTAGGCAAAACACCCACCACTCATTTACATTTTATTTTATTTTTAAATATTCATTTATTTATTTGAAAGAGTTACACACAGAGAGAAGGAGAGGCGGGGTGGGGGATCTTCCATCCATTGGTTCACTCCCCAGTTGGCCTCAACAATCCAAAGCCAGGAGTCAGAAGCTTCTTCCAGGTCTCCCACTTGGGTGCAGAGGCCCAAGAACTTGGGCCATCTTCTGCTTTCCCAGGCCATAGCAGAGAGCTGGATTGGAAGTGGAGCAGCCAGGAATCGAAGGGGCACCCATATGGGATTCCGGCACTACAGGTGGCAGTTTTACCCACAGTGTGGGCCCCCATTAGCATTTTAAAAAGATCTCTCTAGCTGGTCTGTAGGGACCAGAAGGAGGGTCAGTTGGGAAACTCTTAAAGGAAGAGAGCCTGGGGAGGTACTGGGGATGAAAAGAGGTGAAGGATTCAAGGTGTTTGAAGGGAGAACAGGTCAGATGCTGAGCTGGACTGGAGATGGTTGGGGATGAAAGCGAGAGCAACCTACCATAGGTGGCTCTCCATTTTCTGGGGCTTGAAATTATCCACCAAGGAGAGGCAGACCATGAGAGGAGCAGGTTTGGATCTGTTCAGTTCCCCACATCTGTGTTTATTAAAAAGGTAGCTCAGTCTTCTCAAGTGATCAAGTCCAAGGCACACAAAAGAAACAGTTCACCAAGCTGCTTTAGCGTGATGCCAGCCACCCTAATTTTAACAGCTTTATAAAGGTTTTGGTCCTTATGTATAGAGCTGTCAAGGACCTAAAGGAGTCACGTGAAATCCTGAGTTGTACTTTATTCATTTTATGGGTAACAACATGAGCTATGGTGGTGTTTGGAGGCTTGAAGTTTCACAGAGGTAACGGAGAATCCACCTGAGTGTCAAAGACCGATAATCAACATAATAGACAATGTATTGAGCAAATTTCCAATAAAAATTGGGACATGACAAGGGGTTAATTGCTGTGTTGCCCTGGATACTTAATGATTGTCCTTTAGAACTTACTGTGTGCTGGGCTTTCTGTTATGCATTTGATAAATATCTCACTTCAGTTCCAACATCATTTGCTATCTATTTTACATGGGAGGAAAGTAAGGCTCAGAAGAGTTAAGTAACTTGCTCAGGGTCATAGGACCAGCCACGTGGAGTGTGTACTTGGATTCAGATCTGGGCTAACTAGAAAGCTTGGGTTTCTTCTTCTTCTTCTTCTTCTTCTTCTTCTTCTTCTTCTTCTTCTTCTTCTTCTTCTTCTTCTTCTTCTACTTCTTCTTCTTCTTCTTCTTCTCCTTCTCTTTCTCTTTCTCTTCTCCTTCTTCCTCATCCTCTTGTTCTTCTTTTTCCTCCTCTTCTTCTTTTTCCTCTTCCTCTTCTTCTTCTTCCTCCTCCTTTTCTTCTTCTTCCTCTTTTTAAAGATTTATTGATTTATTTGAAAGGCAGAGTTAAAGAGAGGCAGAGGCAGAGACAGAGAGAGAGGTCTTCCATGCACTGGTTTACTCACCAGATGGCTGCAACAGCGAGAGCTGTGCTGATCCAAAGCCAGGAGCCATGGGGCTGGCGCCGTGGCTCACTTGGTTAATCTCCCACCTGTGGTGCCAGCACCCCATATGGGTGCCAGGTTCTAGTCCTGGTTGCTCCTCTTCTAGTCCAGCTCTCTGCTATGGCCTGGGAGGGCAGTGGAGGATGACCTAGGTGCTTGGGCCCCTGCACCTGCGTGGGAGACCAGGAAGAAGCACCTGACTCCTGGCTTCAGATCAATGCAGTGCTGGCCATTGCGGCCATTTGGGGAGTGAACCAATGGAAGGAATATCTTTTTCTAGTCTCTCTCTCTCTCACTAGCTATAACTCTACCTGTCAAATAATAATAATAATAACACAAATCCAGAAGCCAGGAGCTTCTTCTGGGTCTCTCACGTGGGTGCAGGGGCCCAAGGACTTGGGCCATCTCCTACTGTTTTCCTAGGCCATAGCAAAAAGCTGGATTGGAAGTAGAGCAGCCAGGACTCAAACCAGGGTCCTTATGGGATGCCAGCACTGCAGGCAGCAGGTTCACTGGCTATGCCACTCCACTGGCCCCTTCTTCTGTTTTTAAAGATTTATTTATTTGAAAGGTAGAGTGACAGAGAGAGAGAGAGAGAATATCTTTCACCTGCTGATTTACTCCCTGAATGGCTGCTACCATCAGGTACAATCAGGGCTGGGCCAGGCTGAAATCAGGAGCCAGGAATTCCATTCAGGTCTCCCATGTGGGTGGCAGAGGCCCAAGTGCTTGGGCCATCTTCTGCTGCCTTCTTAGGTGTGTTAGCAAGGAGCTGTATTGGAAGCAGAGCAGCCAGGACTGGAACTGACACTCATATTAGATCATGGTGTTGCAAGCCGTCCCTCAACTGCTGGACCACAACATCGGCCCTGAAAGCAGATGATGTGGTCTTCACTTGCAGAATGGGTTCTCTAGGAAGCAGAGGCCAGGATGGGGCTTGAAATGAGAAAGACTTATTAGGGAGCAACACTCACAGAAGAAAACCCCAAGGCAGACCTGACCAAGTCTGCCAGCCTACCACAGAGCTCTGAAGCAAAGACTACACACAGATGGAGTCCAGCGTGGGCAGAGATGGTCAGGCCCTCACACTACTACCTTGCTCAGCACTGGCTAGGGAGAGTGCCCCAAGAAGAGCATTAGCTCAACTTGAAAGCTGATGTGGACCCTGGAGGCTGTCACTTAGCTGAGCTCCTTGCAGTTGGGCAGTGAGTCCATCCTTAAGTGGGGATCTGAACAATGCATCTCCGTGTCTGACACATTCTCTAAAGACTGCCAGCACTCTTCACCCAAGGGGAGGCAGCTACTTGGTTATCTATGGCTGTTTTACAAATTGCCCCAAAATGTAGCAGCTCAAAGCAGACGCAGGCATTTGGTGCAGTGGTTAGGGTGTCACTTGCAATGCTGTGTCCCATGTTGGAGTGCCTGGGTTTGAGTCTTGGCTTCATTTCTGACCCAGCTTCTTGCTGGTGTGACTATCTGGGAGGTGAATCTGGGGTCAAGCATTTGGAGCTCTACCTCCCATGTGGGAGACCTGGATGGAGTTCTGGTCTCTGGGCTTCAGTCTGGGCCAGCACTGGCTATTGCAGCCATTTGAGAAGTAAACCAGCTGATGGAAAAGCCTCTGTCTCCATCACCCTGTCTTTCAAATAAAATTGAAAACAACACCAATATTAGTCATCTCACAGTTTCTGTGGTCAGGAACCTTGGCATGGCTGGGCTGAGTGACACCAGCTGCAGGTCTCCCATGAGGTCACAGTCAAGCTGTCAGCTGTGACTGCATTAGGAGGCTCAACAAGGTGGAGAATCGACTTCCAGACTCCCTTATGTGCGTGTTGGCAGGCCTTAGCCCTTCATCTCATGGGCCTCTCCAGGCAGCTGGCTTCCTCCAAGGGGAGCAATCCAAAAAATAGCAAGAGGACCCCAGATGGGTGCTACAGTCTTTTTACGCAATCTTGGAAATCACATCCTATGCTGTTGTCTGAAAGTGTCCCCCAGATTTATGTGTTGAAGACTTGATCCCCCATGCAGTGAGCTGAGAGGCATTTAGGTCTTGAGAGTTCACTTGGCCTTCAGGGGTGGATTCTTGCCACTAGAAAAAGAGCTTGTGGAGAGGTTCTCTCTTTCCTGCTCTTCTACTATGTGGGCACACAACATTCATCCCCCTCTTGCCCTTCTGTCTTCTGCTGTGTGAGGGCTCAACCTAAAAGCCCTCATCACATGCCTATGTCTTTTTTTTTTAACTTTTATTTAATGAATATAAATTTCCAAAGTACAGCTTATGGATTACAATGGCTTCCCCCCATAACGTCCCTCCCACCCGCAACCCTCCCCTTTCCCACTCCCTCTCCCCTTCCATTCACATCAAGATTCATTTTCGTTTCTCTTTATATACAGAAGATCAGTTTAGCCACATGCCTATGTCTTGATCATGGCCTTCTTAGCCACCAAAACTCTGGAAAATAATTTCTTCAGTCTCAAGTATACTTTTATAGCCACATGAAACAGACTAAGACATTCTCTCTCTTCTGCTGCATTCTATTTGTTAGAAGTATGCCAGTAAGTCCAATTTATGCTCAAGGGACATAGAAATACAAGGGAACAGGGGCAGGGCTACTGGCAGCCAGTTTAGAGGCTGCCTACCATAGGCAGGTACATATTCAAATAAACAATGCCAGGGACAATCACCATATTAGCTCCCACGTATTGAACACCTGCCATGAATCTGGTATGGTGTAGGGCCCTTACTTGTACTGTCTTACACAACTCCTTTATTCACTCAAGATCCATCAAACACAGGGCACTTGCATTGCTAAGGACAAAATGACAAATGAGACACATGTCTCCCCTGGGAGGTGCTTGTGTCCAGAGGCACACTGTCCCAATTTTACAAAGGAGGGAAAGAGCAGTCACAAAGTTGGTATGTGGCTGGGCTAGGAGACCAAGGCTAGCCAATGTGACTTCAAGGCCAGAGCAGACTCATAGATTCACAGCCTGAGAAGGTCGCTGGGCACCCAAGTGTCTAAGAATGGTTGTGAGGAAGAAGCAAATCATGGAGAATATGTACACTATAATTCCATTTATATGTAGGTCACAAACAGGTGCTTGTTTAGCAGGGCACACCTAGCAGTGACACCAAAGAGCAAAGCACAGAGATGATTTCCACAAGTTGGCCACAGTGGCCACCTTGGGGAAGAGAAGTGGATGTGAGGAGGGAGGCCCAGGGTCTTCCAGGAGGCTGAGTATTATTTAGACTTGGTGGTGGGAACATGGTGCTCAAGTTAACATGCATTCCTCTACACACATATGTCTCATTTGATCCTGTGTCAAGGACCTATCTCATGGTAAATAAAAGCAATCAGAACAACTGTGTTGAGTGGGCAGCTATTTTCCAGGAGCAGACACCTGCGATGGCAGGTAACAAGATCTTTTTCTCAAAGACATTGGGTACATAAGGTCATCACACCTCTGTCAAATTCCCCCACAGATGGATTCGCAGCCTGGCTTACCCCTGCGTCCTTCACTGTGTTGCTGGATGAGATCACCTCGCATGTGACTCAACAGGTCTGAGCAAGTCCCAGTTTTTTCCACTCCTAAAAGGGCTGCCAAGGAGTGAAACTTGATTCACATGGTAACAATAACTTCAGAGAGCTTCCCTAAGCAGAGAGCAACCTTGTATACCAGTGCAGAGGAAAGCTCACTCCCGGGATTCCTTGGATGATTTCCACCTTGTGGATTCCATTTCAGAACCTGTCAGCCAGACAGGTGGCTTAGAGGTTGTGCTCTGAGACAGTGAAGCCAGACCTGCTGAAAAGAAGAAGAATCTCTTCAGAAGCCAGTCTAGGGGTGGAGGAAAGGGGGACCAGAAGGAACCTCTCAAATGTCCTTGCTCTTTGGGGCATTTTCAGCTGGTCTTAGCCAGATCCACTGTGGTCAGATAGACATTTGCTTTCTGAATTTCTAGCCCCCAGCTGCCCTGGACCCATGGCGAGGCAGGGCGATTACCTGGGCAGTGGTGAGGGTCACAGGGAGCTGGGGGATGTTTCAGGGTCCAGAATAGCATTTTCTACTATCAATAGAGTGAGGAGTTGGGGAGGTAAGGCAGCCACATAATGTACTGGCCTCCTGTTAAATCTGAATTTAGGATTAACAATGAATTTTTTTTCAAAGCACACACACACACACATCTCCCATCTGCTAGTTCATTTCCCAAATGCCTGTAGCAGCTGGGCTAGGGTCTGGAACTCCATCATTTCCCACTTGAGCGGCACAGAGCCCAGTACTTGAACCATCATCTGCTGCCTTCCAGGGTGTGCATTAGCAGGAAGCTGGACTCTGAAGCAGTGCCAGGACTCAAAACCAGGCACTCCCATCAGCCCAAATGGCATCAAATGCCCATTCCAACACTTTCTGAAAAACAAGTATATCCTGAGGTAGGAGTTGTGGTGCAAGGGTCAAGCAGCTGCTTGGAATGCCCTCATCCAATATCAGAGTGCTGGGTTGAGTCCTGGCTGTTCCACTTCCAATCCAGCTTCCAGCTAAAGTGCCTAGGAAGCAGTAGATGATGGCTCAAATGCTTGAGTCCTGGCCACCCAATGGGAAAACTTGGATGGAGTTCCTGGTACCTGGCTGCAGTTTGACCTAGTCTCAGCTGATGCAGCCATTTGGGGAGTGAACCAGCAGAAGTCTCCCCCTGTCTTCTTTTGTCTGTCATCCTATCTTCCAAACAAATAAATAAACAAATAAAAAAAAGGGAATGACCTAAGTTTGCATTGTATATACTTATACTAAAAAAGTGGTTATTGCTCATCTGCAATTCAAACTCCACTGAGCACCCTATATTTTTATTTGCTAAATCTGTCACCCTGGGTTGGGGGTGAGAGGTACTTGGCATTTAGCAAAGGGAGCCTCTGCTGGGCTCTGCACAGCTAGCAGGGGATACCGCTGGATGTGCTCACCATCCATTTCTCCTCCTTTCCCCCTCCCCAGCCCCACATAGCTGCTTCCATCTGGTGTGCTGCTGTCTGCAGAGCGGCTCTGCACTGGAGATCTGATAATATCAAGGAATTGTTAACCATGTTGTCGTGGCTGGATTGTGGCTGTTTTTTAAAGGAGTTCTTACCTCATAGAGATGTATACTGAAGAATTTGTAGATGAAGTGATATCACAAAAGTTAACTAGAAATGGATCAAGACTTCAATGTAACAGCTAACACTGCAGACCTCAGAAGAAAACACAGAGCAAAGGCTCTATGATGCTGGATTTGGCAATGACTTTTGGGATATGACTGTATGATCCAGGAATTCCCCTTCTGGGTGCATACCCAAAATAACTGAAAAAATCTTGAAGAAAGCTTTGCACTCCCATGTCCACAGCAGCATTATTCACGACACTGAAATGTGGCTACAACCTAAGTGTCCATCGAGAGATGCCTCAATAAGCAAAGTGCAGCGCACACGTACCACAGTCAGCCTTCAACAGAAGGAAATTCTGATATATGCTACAGCACAGATGAACCCTGAGGGCATTTTCCTAAGTGAAATAAGCCAGTCAACAACAAGGCAAATGTGAGGGGTCTTCAAAAATCTCATGACAAATTAGCATTCTGAAAAAAAAAACACAAAACTATGCCTGGATTTCAATTTTTTTACACCAAAAACCCAATTTTTATATGTTTTTCCACAAACATTTTGAACTACTCTCATACTGCATGATTCAGCTTATACGAAGTACTTAGAGTAGTCAAAATCATAGAGGAAGTAAAAATAGAGTTTGCCATGGGCTGGGGAGAAAGGGAGAATGGAAGTTACTGTTTAATGGGTACAGAGTCTCACTTGCACATAATGAAGACTTCTTGAGGTGGATCGTGTTGATAGTACCACCACATTATGAATGCATTATCAGGCCGGCGCTGCGGCTCACTAGGCTAATCCTCCACCTGCAGCGCCAGCACACGGGGTTCTAGTCCCGGTTGGGGTGCCAGATTCTGTCCCGGTCGGGGTGCCAGATTATGTCCTGGTCGCTCCTCTTCCTGTGCAGCTCTCTACTGTGGCCCAGGAGTGCAATGCAGGATGGCCCTGGTCCTTGGGCCCTGCATCCCCATGGGAGACCAAAAGCACCTGGTTCCTGGATTTGGATCAGTGTGATGCGCTGGCCGGGGGGTGAACCAACGGAAAAGGAAGACCTTTCTCTCTCTCTCTCTTTCTCACTGTCCACTCTGCCTGTCAAAAAAAAAAATGAATGCATTACCACTAAACCACACATTTAAACATGGGTAAGAGAGCCAGCCCTAGGTTATGTGCATTTTATCACTACCACCACAACAAAGAAAAGAAAAGAAAAGAAAGAAGAAAAAAAAGAGAACTGAGCCATCAAGCCAGGGAAAGACAGGAAGTTTAAATGAACATTGCCAAATCAAAGAGGCCTGCTAAAATGATGCATATTATATGTTTCTAACCACATGATATCCAGAGAAAAGGCAACACTACAGTGATGGTAGAAAGCTCAGTGATGGACATGGACTGGGGAGAAGTGGGGATGAAGGGGAGTTAGGGGATTTTAGACAGTGAAATCATTCTGACAGTGTATATGATGACATCACACATTTGTCAAAACTCGTGGAACCATGCAGAGTGAACCCTAAGGGAAATGAAAACCTCAGCTGAACAGCAGTGTATCAGTACTGATTCTTAAGTTCTAACAGATGTAGCACACTAAGGCACGATGCTAATAACAGGGGATGCCCTGAGCCAGGAGAGAGACGTGTAGGGGCCTCTGGACTTTTTGCTTAATTTTCCTGTCAACCTAAAAATGCTCTAAAAACAAAGCCTGCTAATTTTAAAAAAGATAAAAAGAAAATAAGATCTACATTACATGTTTTGGAATTTCTCAAAAAGGGCTAGTTGCTTGAAATTAGATTTGGTTGAGATAACTAGAAATGAGTGGAAGAAAATGGTCGCCATCTAGGACTGTGTATTCAGATGTCCTCTGGCTCCACATTCTCACTGCACATTAGTGGAAGAAAAAAAAAAAGGAAAGCCCTAAAAAAATGAAAAGACAGACAAAAATACACAATCATGTGACTGCAAATGTGCCCTGCAATCTCTGTGTCCTGACTCAGCTGAGCAGCGCTTCTGCAGTTTTCGTCCTGTGTCTGTGGCCTTGGTTTTCTGATCCGCAGGACGGCGACCACGTGTGGGTGTGCAGGGAGGCTGTCAGCAAATGGGATGGGAGGGGGACTTTGGAGTATTAATCCAGCCATCTTTATAAAGGCTGCTCCTGTGGCTGGGAATCGCCCCCACGGAGGCGGGAGTGGCTGGGCTGCCAGCAGCCCTCTGGCTGCAGGAGTGGCCCCAGCTTTATTGCTTATAACTGCTGGGAACCAGCTCTCCACCGTGTGTCTGGCCAAACACGGGGCATGTGAAAGTGAAAGGTTCTGCCTGTTCTGCTAGCTGGGATCCCAAGCATCTGGCAGGAGGAAGGACAGGCCTGCCCTAACTCAAGGGTGCTCCCAAGCGGCTGTGGGCTTGCAGCAGCCCCCAGCAGGGAGAGGGGGTGAGTTTGGAGGACAGAGACATCCTGGACACAGAATCCCGTGCTTTTCCTTTTGGTCTCTTGAGTTTGTAGCATTGATCTGTTTTTTTTTTTAATTAGAAATATTTAATTGGCAAATAAAAATTGTACATATTCAGTGTTGCCAGGATTTGATAGACCACAGACATTGTGTAATAGTCACCACAACCCAATTAATGACCGCATCCCTTACTGCCCACAGTTACTATATTGTGTGTGGGGGAGGAAGGAGGGTGAGGACAATTTATAATCTGGTGTTCTATAATTGCAAGTAAACAATACAGTGTTATTAACTATGGTGACCCTGTTATACACTGGATCCCAGAATATATTCATCTTGTAGCTGAAAATGTGCTCCCTGGACGAACATCTCCCCGTTTCCTCCTCTCCCTACCACTGGCAACTACTGTTCTACTCTGCTTCTGTGAGTTCAACTGTTTCAGAATTCACTTACTGGAATCATGCAATATTTGTCTCTTTGTCCCTGGCTTATTTCAGTTTTACTTAGCATGAGGTTCTCTGTGATCTTCCATGTTGCAGCAGGATTTCCTTCTTTTTAAAAGCCAAGTAATATTCCATTGTCTTTGCATGCCATATTTTCTCTATCCATTCACCGCTTGATGCGCGTCTTGGCTATTGTGAATAGTGCTGTAAAGAGATCTCTTCAAGAACTTGTTCTTACTTCCTTTGGTTCAGTACCCAGAGGGAGGGTGGATGGATCATATGGCAGTTCTATTTTATGACAGGAAATTATGGGCTGTAACTTCCACTAGTCAGTTAGAAGTGCCAGTATCCCAGTGTAAACCATGAGCTTAGAACAAGCAGGCACTAACAAATGATAACTAATAACATTTTTTCAGCACTTACTCAGTGCCAGGCCTCAGGCTAAGTGTTAGGTGAAGAATCTCATCTTCATGACAACCTTAAGAAGCAGGTGCCATCTGTATTCCCATCTTACAGATGAGGAGCTGGTGGCCCAGAGAAATTAATTCACTTGCTAGTATGTGGCTGAGTTGGGAGTTGAGTGTGCTGTGCTGGACTCCAGAGCTTGTCCCCTTGGATATCACACCAGGGAATAAGAAGGCAAAGGGTTAGAAAAAGCAGGTGTTTGTTTTGTGGCCAGGATGCCTATCAGCCACTACTGCTGAGTTCAATGCCCAGCTCTGCTTCTCATTCTAGTTTTCTGATAATGCAGACCCCGGGAGGCTGCTCAAGTACCTGTGTCCCTGCCACCTATGGGGAGACCTTGGTGGATTCCTGGCTCCTATTTTTGGTGCTGTCCAGCCCCAGCCATTGCAAGCATCTGGGCAAAGAACTAGAGGGTGGGATTCTCTGTCTCTCTTTGCCTCTCAAATAAATAAGTGTGGTAAAAACCCCACTATCTTATTACCTTAACAATATTTATTTCTCACTTATTATACTTGCTCATAGAAAGTCAGCTAGGGGCTCTCCCATCACTTCAACCTGGAATTGAAGAGATACTATCTATAGTATTGCTGGTTTCTATGGTAGAAAGAAAGTGACAGGAGCAAGTACTATGACATAGTGGGTTAAGCCACCACTTGGGATGCATCTAATATGAGCTTCAAGTCTCGGCTCCTCTGTGCTTCTGATCCAGTTTCCTGCTAATGTGGCTGGGAGGTGGTGGATGATGACACAAGTTCTTGGGTTCCTGCTCCCCATGTGGCAGACCTGGATGGAGTTCCTGGCTCCTGGCTTTGAGTTGCCATAGCCCTGTCTCTTGCAAGAATTTGGGGAATGAACCAGCAAATGGAAGATCTAGTTTTTCTTTCCCCCTATGTCACTCTGCCTTTCAAATAAATGAATTAATCATTAAAGAAAGAAGTGGGGCTGGCATTGTGGTGTAGTAGGTTAAGCCTCTGCCTGCGATGTAGGCAACCCATATGGGCACCAGTTCAAGTCCCAAATGCTCCACTTCCCATCCAGCTCCCTGCTAATGCAATTGAGAAAGCAGCAGAAGAAGTGTTTGGGCCCCTGTATCCATGTGGGAGATCTGGAGGAAGCTCCTTGCTCCTGGCTTCAGCCTGGCCCAGCCCTGGCCATTGTGGCCATTTGAGGAGTGAACCAGTGGATGGAAAATCTCTCCCTTTCTGTCTCTCCTCCTCTCTCTGTAGCTCTGCCTTTTAAGTAAATAAAAAAATAAATCTTAAAAAAAGGAAGGAAGGAAGGAAGGAAGGAAGGAAGGAAGGAAGGAAGGAAGGAAGAAGAAGAAGAAGAAAGGAAGGAAGGAAGGAAGGAAGGAAGGAAGAAGAAGAAGAAGAAGAAGAAGGAAGGAAGGAAGGAAGGAAGGAAGGAAGGAAGGAAGGAAGAGAGAGAGAGAGAGAGAGAGAGAGAGAGAGAGAGAGAGAAAGAAAGAAAGAAAGAAAGAAAGAAAGAAAGAAAGAAAGAAAGAAAGAAAGAAAGAAAGAAAGAAAGAAAGAAAGAAAGAAAGAAAGAAGTAACAGATCATGCACTGGCTAAAATGCCTGCTCACATGTCATCAGTCAAAGCAGACCCCATGGCTATACCTCACTTCAAAGACAGTTTGAGGTGCATTCCTATCTCGTGTCTGGAAAAAAGGGAAGACTATCCGTGAAGAGCTCTTTGAATACTCAGGCCTCACTCAGTTGGAAATGAGAGCAATTACACTGGAACTGACCTGGGCAGAAAAGGAATTTCTTGGCTCACCTACGTCTAGGGGTTGTTGGGTCCAGAGCCAGTTGGGTCCAGGTGCTCACAGTCATGCAGCTCTCTTTTGTCTGGCTCCATTCTCAGCTAGTATCTCCTCAAGTTACCATATCAATGTCCTTCCACAGTTTCTTATTTTCCACCAACTATTAAAGGAGAGTACCTTTCCTGTTGCTTTCTAACCAAAGTCTCTGAGATGATTTCCTTTGATTTAGACTGAGTCACATGACCATTCCTGATGCACTCTCTCTGACTCTGATGAGTCCAGCTTTTTCATGTAGTACCTGGGAAGTAAATCTTGAAACAGAAATGCATCCTCCCCACTTAGAAAACACGGACTGACAATGGGAGGGGGATGTTTTCCCCTAATGAAGAGATAGTTCCACTCCTAGAAGAAGGGACACTAACCAGGCCAAAACAAAAGACATAACCAGATTCTCTCTTTCCTTTGTGTAGTGGGTTGGACACACCCGGTATGGAACACTGCTGGAATCTGTTGACCCTGGTCATATACCTGATGCCACCTTTACTTTATGATCAAATGGCTAAGGCTTACTTCTTTCAGCAAGGTTTGGTTAGGAGGGCATACTTAGAAGTGGGCCAAGGAAGGGGAATAATAAAAGATAAGTTATACTGGAGCCTGGGAGGCTAGGAGAAAAATAACGTCATCAACAGAAACAGAGGGATGAGGAAGGAGAACCAATTTTGGAGGGGAGAGTTGAGCCTTGCATCTTTAATTTGAGATGACTGCAACATGCAGGTAGAGCAAGCCACTGGGATTTAGCTGCAGAAACAGCTCTGGGTGAGGCAGAGACACACATAGATTTGAACATATCTAAAGACAACAACAGGTAGAGAAATCTCGTGGCCTAGAACCTAAGAAAATGGAAGACAAGAGCATGGACTTCCACAAGGAAGTCCACTACATCCCAGGTAGAGGGCAGGATAAGGAAAGTGAGCC